TATAGGTTCGGTTTGTGAGGAAAGCTTCTATTCATCTAATTAGAGCTATCGGGAGACCAAGACCCCTCAGGTCAGTTCAGGTCAAGTCACAGGACTTTTGTCCAGGTTCTTGCACCTCGAGCTCCGTGTTCTCGTAGTGCTTCGACTGCCAAGCGTTCCTTTACTAGTCAGGTCAGGTCAGGTCAGGTTGCACAGGGCGGAAAAGGCTTTTGCCAACGAAGCGTCCAGATTCTTGCTTCCGTGGGAAGTTTCCTTCTTCCAAAGCTTCAAAAATCGTTTCAGTCGCTGTCTTGCAACTGTTTTGCGGCAGGACACTGGTTCCGGTACGATAAATGTAGCGGAGATTATTTAAAAAACAAGTAGCCTGCCAATCCTAAACAATCACAGACCCTGCTTCTATACTACCTCTGGGTATATTTGGTTCCAAACCCTGTTCAACTGCCTCTTGAAATCGACTGTACTCACACAATCCATCAGGTGAAGTGGTAGCTGATTCCATCTATCAACCACTCGGTTCGTGAAGAAGTTAAACCGCACACCTAGGCGAGCCCTTGGTTTTAAGAGGTCAAGTCAAGTCAGGTCACTGGACTTTAGACTTCGGCCAGTGGACGTCCAGGTTCTTGCACTTGTGAGCTGGTGATTCCCACTGTGCTGTCACTGCCAGGTAGTTCCACAGTTGTGATGGGTATTGTACCCACAAGGGAAGAGATGAAGAGCAGGATCGCCCTCGGGGTAACAGCAGGTCAGGTCAGGTCATGTGGCACAAGGCGATAAAGGCTTTCGCCAACCGAGCGTTCAGATTGTTGCTCCAGCCGGAAGCACGTTCTTCCGGAGCTCCGAATTATTGTCGACCGTTTGACCACAGCCGATTTCTTCGTTCGGAACAGCCTCCTTTATGGCCAACCATTTAACAGGCGCCGCACCTCAGCGGACTGCTACTCCTGCCACGAGAGCTTCCCGGGGGCTGATGACAGAAAAAAGCTTAGTGTTAATTGTGCGTGAGGTGCGTGATGCAAAGGAGTGATGGTAGAAATAGGCAACGGCTACAAAAGGAGGATTTGGGTAGTGATTAAGACCTGAACTAGTCAAACACTATGTAAACACCTCTTCCCAGCAGTTGTCTAGTCTTCGCTTGAATTGCAGAACACAAGATACTGCTACTACTGTCGGTGGAAGTTTGTTCCATGCGTTTACCACGCGGTGGGAGAAAAACTGTGCCCTGGCACTTCCGTTGGCCCGTGGTTTCATCAGCTTCAGGTCATGCCCTCTGAGGGTTAGTTTGAGATTTCGTGTAAACAAGGATCTATCTGCCACTGACAGCCCTTTGAGCTGTTTGACCGTCCCAATCAAGTCCCCCCTCAGGCGACGGCGATGAAAAGGGAATAAGTTAAGGGCCGCCAGTCTTTCTTTGTAGGACTTTTCCTGCAGTCCACTGATCATCCGGGTGAACCTTCTTTGTACTGCCTGAAGTAGTTGTTTATCCCTTACTTGGAGATGGGACCACGCCTGGACGCAGTAATGAAGATGTGGCCGCACATACGCCATATACAATGGCAAGATTAACGAAGCCTCCCTCGATATTACCGTTCTGCAGAGTTGAAATAAGGCTCTATTGGCCTTCGCTGCGGCTGCCGCGCATTGCATTGAGGGTTTAAAGGAGGAGTGCAACTGCACCCCTAGATCCTTGACTACATCTGCAAGTTCTATGGTGTTCATCGACCCAACGCCTAGTTGTCGCACCTCCGCGGTCCCTCTGTTTAGCAGCAGGTGCCTGCATTTGATGGCGTTGTGAGGTAGTTCCCATGAGGCCGCCCAGTCGTTAAATGCGTTGATTGCATCCTGTAAATCCCCCGATGAGCGATTCCCTACTACTTTTAGGTCATCCGTGAATAGGAACCCAGGGTACCGGAAGACCTCAGTGACGTCATTTACATACAGCACAAATAGTATAGGACCATGGACTGAGCCTTGAGGTACCCCACTACAGACTTCTGCGGTCCCCGAGGTTTCCTGTTCGACCGTTAGACGGAACGTCCTTCCGTGCAGGTACGCTTTATTCTGCTGGTTTACGCGCAGGGCTTCCAGTTTGCAGAGGAGGAATCTGTGGTTAACCGAGTCGAAGGCTTTCCTGAAATCGAGGTAGCACACTTCGACTCGATCCCCTGCGTCCAACTCGTCTTTTACCTCGTCCAGAAATGATATGAGGTTAGTGAGACACGACTTTCTGTTGACAAAGCCGGGTTGTTAGCCCGCTATTAGGTGCTGGTCGTCCAAGTAACCCACCAAGTTCTCCCTGAGGAGCCGCTCGAAGGTTTTCAGGACAACCAAAAGCAGACTTACTGGACGATAATTAGATGCAGCCGCCCTTGATCCTCCTTTGTGGATTGGCACCACTTCTGCCATGGTCCAGTCAGCCGGCAGCGTTGCAGAGTCAACGGATTGGTTGTAAAGCTGAGTAAGCGCACCTACTATAATGTCAGCAATTGACCGCAGTGTTGCTAGATGCAGCCCATCCGGGCTCGCGGCCTTGTTCTGATCCACTTGTTTCAGTACTGCTTCTAACTCCTTTGCCTCCAATACAAACGGGGCCATGCTGTGTTCGGTGAGTCTACGCAGAAGGCCAGACAACGGCCTTCCCAGGTCCGTTAAGTGGACCTTCACGAAAAAGCTCTTTATAACTTCAGCCTTCTCCTTGCTGGTGGCCGGGTGATGCTGTCTTTGAATAACTGCCACTCCTGTTCCACGGTGTGGAAGCCATCTGCTGTCCACTGGATTGCCTCTGCTGCTTGCCTGAGCGTCGGGACATCCCGTTTCCTATGATCCCTCCTGAGCTCATGTTGGACAGGGGGAGGGTTTCCCCTGATGTGGAACCTAAGTACTCCATGGTCACTTCGCTCTAGGGGAGCTGAAACCCCGAGCTGTTCCACATCCTACGGCATCTTGGACAGAACTCGGTTCAACATGCTAGGCCTTTGCCCTCCCTGCCATCTAGTGGGTTGATTGACGTGCTGCACCAGGGTAGCACTGTCATCAAGTCCACTAGTTTTCTACCAAAACCAGAGCGAGATGCCCACAGGCTTTCCCAGTCTACTTCAGGAGAGTTGAAGTCTCCCATGATGACCAACCACTCCGCATGGTTGCTTTCCCTCGTCAAACAGTGGCACAGCTAGTCATCCTCCTCCTCATCTGAGAGTGGTGCTCTGTAGGCACCTACTACCGTCACAATGCAGTTCGGGGATTGTATGGTGCATGAGCGCGCTTGGATATTTGGCGCCACATACATCCCTACCATCCTTCCTGTCCGACCTGTACGCGCAGTACCCGGTGAGTTGCAGGCTCTCCATTGTGATGGCCTCATGTAACCANGTCTCGGCTATCACAATACAGCCTGATCCTACGGTTACAGCCCTTAATTCTCTCCACTTGTTGCCTAGGCCGAAAGCGTTCGTGTAGAATGCGGATAAACCATCAGCCCAAGCCCCCATCTAGCCTTAGTGTCACTAGAGTCTAATGCGCACTCGGGCAAACTGCCCGAGAGCCCTCTTTGTTTTTCGTCGCTGGCATACTCTTGGCCTTCAGTCGCCGAAGCGCTGCAGAGGGAATGACGTCGACACTGGCACTTCGAGCCACCGTGGCCCACAATTCCTTACCAGTCTCCAACTGAGTAGGCCCAATGTGATTCGGCCTGTCCTTACGATTAGCTGTGACCATTGTGATCGGTCCATCCAGCGTGGGCTCTGGACCTGCACCGTCACGTCTGTGTCCTGTGGGTGATAGTGTTGGTGTGAAGCTAACCGGAGTTGACGGCCTGTCGGTAAGTCTTCTTACGAGTCTCAATATCCGCGCGACCTCCTAGTGTCTCGTTGCCCGAGGTAGACAAAACCACTCGGGGGAGACGTAAACGTTTATTGGCGAATCGTGGTACTAGATAGTACCGAAACGTGCCAAAGTGACGCTCAACAATGCAAGCAATAAATGCAGTAGCAAAGCGAAAGTGTGTCACACGTGTAGCATGGGTTTGAACAAGACCCAGCTCATATTTACGCCTGAGCGGAAAACCGTGCTCGGTAAAACAAACAGAATTAAAACAAAGAAATATCACAGTTGGAGTCAGAGTTGATTGTGAAGAAAATATGAACGGAAAACGTCCTCGTGAATTGCCCCTTCTCTTCGTATAATCATTGTCACTTCAGGTGTAGTTGAGCCGGACATGGGAGTGGATGTAGTCCGTTGAGCAGCGTTTGCCGGTGATTGATGCTGCAATCTACTGAGCTCTAACCGCGGTGAGTAACCTCGGGAGTCGCAGTATGCCGTGTTAGTTGGTGATGTCTGTCGGCGAAAGCCTGCATACATAGATCTATTATCCGGTTTGACGCCTACCTTCCCATTTGTCAAGCTCTTTAGTCTACCCGCCGCCGCCAGGAATGCATCTCGGAATCTCTGGTTGCCAAATTCTACGATAACTGGCCTTGTGACACGCGCAATGCTTACCTGTGCGTTAGACCATTTCCCAAGCCTGAAAATCCTTTTGATTAGTGCGTGGGCCCGTATTCCCACCTGTCTAAGTAGGTTGGAGACAGGATGTCTCAGATCCCTTTCTCTCAGTTTGACACTGCTGCAGAGCGGCTTTTCCATTCCTTTGATGACAACATTTCGCTGCCTGTCTATTGCGATGCCCGGTTCGTGGCCCAGATTTTTAACCTGGAAAGACATGCTGGTCACCTCCATCCTGATCCCGGACAAACTGGCTGTCCTAGCAATAATGTCTAATTGGAGTCGCCGGAGTTCTGACCTCATGTTTGCCTCAAGCGCTTCCAGACTTGCCCTAACTGTCTCTAAATCGAGGACTTTTGTCGATTGGCATTTCCTTAGCTCTATGACTGTCTCCTCATCAGTTATGTTGTCGTCATCGGTTTGCTGTTGCACTCAAGTGCCGCTATGTATAATTAGCTGTGAACAGTCACAACAAACCCATTTAATCTCCTCGTTATCTAGGTACAGTCGGTAAGCATGGGGGTAAGCTTACTGCAAGCACGATGAAACCACCGATCGCAGGTGTCGCAGGAGATACCATTTTTTACGGCTTTGGAACACTTCGTACAACTCCCGCTGGGACTCCAGGGTGATCCTATGGAGCTATGTCTAGCCATTCTCACCACTTTTTGGGAGTACGGTGAAAAATGTTCGGATGATGTAGAGTGAAATGTGACCTAATGATTAACAAACCTCTAGCGAATGGAATATAAAAGCCCGGTGGGTAGCTGGCCATCAGGACGAGAACAGAATGTGTGTAAACGGCCTACCTTTAATAGATTGTTACAAATGGCTAACTAACCTTTTGGGCTCACCGTTAATCAACCTCAATAATGTGAGGAGCGTGAATGTACGTGTATCGTCGATACTCCTTTCGGGAAGACCCCCGATTTATCCTGAATTTGAAATAGTTGCCTGCTACGGTTGACTTGATTACAGCGATCCTCTCAGTAAAGTTCGCTGCTGATCAGGATGATCCACCGAAAGTGGAAATAAAGAGGGCATACATCGATAACGTTCGCCGAGTGATAAACAGGACAGAGAACCGTTAAGGTCAGGTCAGGTCAGGTTCCGGTCAGGTTCCAGAACTTGCGGCTTGAGCCAACGAGAGTCCAGTTTCTTCCTCGAGTGGGCGTGAATTCTCCCCGTGCTTCAACCGTCCGGTATTCCGGTGTTTTTTTTCACCAAGGGTGATTTACTGGCACACGGAATGCAAAGTACGATATCGGGATCACTTCTGGAATAAGCAGTCGACTCACGATTAGAAACGGATAAATTGCTTACATCTAGCACCGTTACACCCTGCTAGGCAATCCTTTATCTCGACAGACAATAAAAAAAGACGAATGAAAGCGGAAGGCTAAGGATGAAGTTTTAATAATACGAATAATAATAATAATAATGAGGGTAGCAAAGAAGTATCTAGAAAAAGAAGGGGGTGCGTAAGGGACGGATAAAGCAAGGAAGCAATGTCCCGGAATTAGATAAGGTCGGGGAACATGGCAGCCCACCTTATGTACAGTCTAGCCTTGAACTGCACTAGTCTGGGCTGAGACTACCTCCGCTGGCAGTCTGTTTCATGCGTTTACCACCCTATGCGAGAAGAAGGTCGCCCTCATGCTCTTCAGAGCTCTGGGTTTGCTCAATTTCAATCCGTTGCTCCTGAGGGAAGGGTTGTTATCTGTGCTGATTAGGGGGCTCCCGTGCTGGTGATTCCTTTCAGGAGCTTGAAGGTCTCTTTAAGATCCCCCCTCAACCTTTTCCTTTTCAGGGAGAAAAGTCCTAGACTCTCCAGCCTCTGTGTACGTCAACCCTCGGAGACCCGGGAGAAATTTCGTGGATCTCCTTTGCATCCTTTCAAGCGTGTTCATGTCTCCAACTTTAGTTGGTGCCCATGCCTGGACTCCATACTCTAAGTGGGGACGAAAGAACGCCTGGTACAATGGAAGCAGCACTACTGGGTCTCTGGATGCAACAGTACGTCGCAACTGGATCAATGCCCTCTGAGCCTTCCCAGAAGCCTCAGCATTTTGTGGTGACGGCTTGAAGGACTGGTACATACGCACCCCTAGGTCCTTCATCGACTCTGAGTGCTGAATTACCAGGGGTTATGAAGGTTGTGGTGGCGTTCTACAGGGAAACCGTCAGACACTAATTGCCTGCACTTGCCGGCGTTCAGTGGTAGGCCGCAGACTAGTGATACAGGGTGTCTAAGTCCTGCTGTATGACATCCACGGTTAGCCTACATACAATTTTAGCATCATCAGTAAATAGAAAACACGGCGACTACAGCATTTGGGCTAGATCGTGGAGAATGATTACGAACAGCAGAGGCCCAAGCACCGAACCTTGTAGTACCCCACTGCAGGTTAGGGCGGAGGTAGATCTGAAATCTTCTACTTTCAGGTAGAAGTTTCGCCCACTTAGGTAGTCTCCTTTCTAGTTGTGATAATCGTAGCAGTAGTAATCGTGAAATTACGCACGGAATTCAGGACACAAACTACACAATAGGAATCATGGAACACGAATTTGAAATCCGGTGACACTAGACCGCAATGGTTGTAACTCGCAATAACCCGCAGGATCGAGACGCGAGGAAAAAGGCCACAAGAGAGGAGAATCACAAAGTCGTTTATTGAAGGAAATGAAAGTGAATGTATATGTGCACAAGAAAAGATCATTGGCTACCTTAGTTTTCACCAAT